GGGGCCATGGCAATGCCTTGGGCTGTGCCCCATGGAGCTGCCCACTCTGCAGAATGGTGCAGTTTGCAGAACAGAACAGCACAGCTGGCCTGCGGGCGCTGCACCTGAACATCAGCAGGGCCATGGCCCAAGGCCTGCTCCTCGCATTCTCCCCTGCTGAGGTGAGGGCCCCCACGTGTGCTTTCATGTCCCCCACACTGGGCTTGTGGCAGCCCTGCTTGGCAGAACCCACACGGGCAGTGCTGAGCTTGTGCCTGCTCAGGGCCCCACAGTGATCAGCTCAGCAGAGGAGGGGACAGCAGGCACCATCCAGCTCCCCGGCGGGGCGTTCCCAGCCCCGAGCAGCCAGGCAGTGCGCGTGGTGGTGACTGTGCTCAACATCCAGCAGCTCGCCATGTTCCAGGTACGAGCTCCCATTTCAGCCATTGGGATGTGGGTGACGCTTGTTGGCTCGGCTCAGCCGGCACCGCTCCGTGCAGGAGGACAACCAGATGGGAAAGGTCCTGGATGACACCGTGGTGGGCATCGTGGTTGGGGATGGGGACGTCTTGGAGCTGCAGGACCCCGTGCAGCTCACCTTTGCCTACCAGCAGTTGCCACATGTAAGGCATGCCCTCCCCTCCCTATGCCTCCTGGTGAGGTGCAGGTTCACACTACGTCCCTGTTTGCAGAATGTCACCCCGCTGTGTGTTTTCTGGGAGCCCAGCAAAGGTACGAGGCTCAGCAGGGCTTGGTGGGGCTGTGGGCAGGCTGCCTGCCATGCTCCTGGCTGCCATCCTGCTATCAATAAGCATTGCAGCCCCCTAGCCCTGTGCTCTGTGAGGCAGGATGCAGGTTTGGGCTGGCGCCCACCACTGTGGCCCTGTGCTGGTTGTAGGGCAGGCAGGAGGCTGGAGCAGCCACGGATGTGTCACACAGCCCAAGGACAAGGAGACAGTCTGCACCTGTGACCACCTCTCCTTCTTCACCCTCCTCCTGGTGACAACCCCTCTCCTTACAGCTCCCACTCTTACCCCTGCTCAGGCCCTCATGTGTTACTGCTGGGTGCACAGGAACAATTATATTTGCTTCCAGGCGAGCCCAATCCTGCCCTAACATCAACCCCAGCCCCATCTTTGTGTCCCCGAGGGCAGGAGCAGATCAGTGGAGGATGGGGAGGGTGGAAAGAGCTCTATTCTGGCAGCAGTGAAATTTGAGGTCTGTTCTCTCCCCACCCCAAGAGCAAGCACATCCCCTCAGAGCCACCACCACCACTTCTGCACTCCCTGGGGAAGTTGGGGACAGACCTGCGGGTTCTGGGCTTGTAGAGGTCCCTGCAGCACTCTGCTGGGGGTATCCCCCCCTTGGCTCCATGGCTTGGGCAGCAACAGCCAGCTTTTCCAGGCTGGTTTGGACCCATCAGACCACTCATGTTTGGCAGAACCCATCCCTGGACGGATCTACAGCACAGACGTTGGTGACTGTGGCCAATGCTGGTTGTGGTGTGGCTGTGGCTTTCTCCATCTTCACTTTTGCCTTCTACATCTTCTTAAGGTGGGGTGTGCAAGCAGCTCCTCTGACCCTGAATGGGTTTGGGGAGGAATGTGGAGCGACCCCAGGCCTCGGGGAAGGGGTGCCCCTCTCCTCTTCCACTTGTCAGTGCCTGCTGTGACCCTCCACAGTATGTGGGTCCCTCCTCCATCCTTTCTGCTCCCTCCAGGTGCAGTTACAAACAGTTCAGGTCTGAGGACACCCTCCGCATCAACCTGGGGCTGCACATGAACCTGGTCAGCAGCCTGCTCCTGCTCAACCTGGCTTTCCTGCTCAGCAGTGGGCTCTCCAGCAGAGCACCTCCTGGGCTGTGCAGTGCCCTGGGGGGGCTCACCCACTACTGCCTGCTCTGCTGCTTCACCTGGACGGCGCTGGAGGGCTGTCACCTCTATCTCCTCTTTGTCAAGGTCCTTGGCACCTACATACACCACTACCTGCTGAAGCTGTGCATTGTCGGATGGGGTGAGCACAGGCTGCTGGGGGAGTGAGGGAGCCTGTGGGTTACAGCCAGAGGGAACACTGCAAAGCCCAGTTATGGGTGCCTGCAGAGACAGAGAACTGTGACCTCCCTCATGCTGCTCTCTCTTGTTCTTCCAGGCTTCCCTGTTCTGGTGGTGGGGGTGGCAGGAGCCATTGGCAGCTATGGAAAACACAGCATTGGGACAGTGGACAACCAGACCATAATCGACCTGTGCGTGGCACACGCCTGCAGGATTTGAGTGGCCCTTTTGCCATGGGGAGGGGTTCCCATAGATGTATGGGGAGCAGAGCTACTGGAAGCATTGCAGTTGTTTCTTTCCAGGTGCTGGATCAATTCTGAGCACCTCCTCGTCCACTACATCACAAACTGCGGCTACTTCGGCCTCATCTTCCTCTTCAACACCATCATCTTCGGGGTGGTGGCCTGGAAGAACTGCCACCTGTGGAGGAGCGGGGTGATGCAGGGGCACTGCAAGGCCTGGAAGGTGGTCCTGGCAGCGATGGGTCTCTTCTGCCTGCTTGGAGCCACCTGGGCACTGTCCTTCCTCAGCTACGGCAGCTCTTCCACGCCCATGCTCGTCCTTGCTGCTATCCTCAACTCCCTCCAAGGTCAGGGCTGGCTCCCAGGGTCTGGCTGGGAAGGGATGGGAGGCAGGAGGAAGCATGGCAGTGGTGGACAATGAATCCCAAGGCACAGTCATGCCCTTCCCTTCAGCAGGGAGAAGAGGGACCTGCCATGGAGCTCAGCCACTGATGCTGAGCCCTGGAGAGGCACTTGGAGGAGCCTCTCTCTCTCTGCTGCTGCCATGGTCTTCTTCCTTCCCCTGCAGGTGTTTTCATCTTCGTCTGGCTGGTTGTCCTCTACTACCCAAGGGCGGAGGAGACCAGCAGCTCCCTCTCCCACATCGTGAGGAATGACAAAACCATGGCTGTGTCACAGGGATAGCTGCTGGGCCTTCCCTCTCTGCCTGCCAGCTCCCAGCCCAAAGCACATGGCTTCCTGGGAGAGCAAGGCCTGCATGGGCAGCTGGGCACCCTGGCTGACCAGCGTGGCCCCTGCTCTCACCCACACCTCATTTTACTCTTTGGGGGGTGTGATCTGCCCTAGCTGCCCTTTGGCTCCTGAGGGCCAGCTTGGTCCAAGGAGCTCCAGTCACCTCCCTCCCTTCTGCATGCCCTCGGAAGTCTCATTCCCCAGTGCCTCTTCCTGGAGCCTGCAAGCCACCTGCATTCAGCCTACAGCCTTACCCCAGCACAAGAGAGGGAATTGGTTGCTTAGATCAGCCAGGAGATGCACAGCCAGCTGCACCCTGAGCTACACCATGCCCTCCACACTGTATGTGCATGCACGCACATCAGCTCAGCCTCTCACAGAGAGCTGTTGTATTGGCCAATCTACGCCTTTGTTTTAGCATTAAAACTCTGCTAGCTAGCTAAGCATTATGGATTTCACTTTTGATGGTGACAAGTGAACAATATTTATAGTTTTCTCCGCTTAGACGTATTGGTGAACCAAAGTCTTTCTAGCAATTCACTGTCATGCAGGGGGAAGATATCTGTGTGGACACATGTATGCACACACACTTGTACATACAGAGCAGTCCTTTCTCTGCTAATGCTATGCCATCTGTGGTTCCATGCTGTGTAATCAATGAATATACAGACGTTGTAATTAAGAAATATACAGGAAAGGTAGGCTAAACAGGCTATCACACTAAATAAGAAGGGATGGAAAGCTTACCTTCATCCTTGGGCTCACTAAGAAGACTCCAAGAGGAGTGATCTCCACAAGAGATCCTTCCCCACTGGCAGTCAGCTCTTAAATGGGGTCTAGGAGAGGTGGAGCCAGGTTCCACCCCTTCCAGTAGCACAGAATTACCTTCACCTGTGCTCTCAGGGCTGACTCAATGCTCACCTCATGTGGTCAATCAGAGGCTCAGGCTGTGATTCAGCAATTCCCATGCAAAGCCCACATCTGGTGGGCACAGAGCTCCATCTCCCCACCTCCTTCCAAAACCAACCACCTGCCCAGCGTAAGAAGGACAAGAAGGACTTCAGGAAAAAAAAATCTAGCTGCTCTGTTTGCTCTCTGGAAGCTCTATGCCATGCCTGCAGGCAGGCCCTGCTACAGCTGGGTTGCTGGGTCTTGCAGAGCCCAACAGCTGAGCCCTGTCCCATGAGAGGGTACTGGACCCCAGGAGGCATCCCACCTCACCACCCCAGAGCAGCCCTTTCTGCTCAGCTCTCCTCAGTACTTGTTTCACCATGGGCCAGAAGGGCATGGGAACGTTCAAAAGATGCTCAGTGAACAGAAACACTCTGATGTGACTCATCCTTTGAGCAACATTTGAATTTCCTTCCTCTAAACCTCTGTAAAGACACAGAGAAGAGCCTCTCTGCCACTGCCACATTTATTTGAAACTGGCTATTTTCTACACCGTACGTCTTCTCACACTGACAGCTGCAGCAGCCACAGTGAGCACACCAAGAACACACAGCAGGATGAAGATCCCAGGGAGCCACAGGCTGGGTCCAACAAAGAGAAGAAAGGTTGGTTACTGGTCTGGGTCCCCCAAGCTGGCCCCAATGCTCCCCAGAGTGGCATACGTACCCTTCAGCTCCTTTTGGTCAGCCCTGGGATGATGGCTCTCCTCTCTCAGGGAAGGAGCAGCCAGCAGGTGGATGGGTCCATAGGAGACAATTTTATTGTAGTCATCTGCCAGCGCCCGCTTGCTCCTCCAGAGAGTGGGACATTGCTGTTAACAGAATAAAAGGAAGGGAAGAGAGCAGGGAAGAAGCCCTCCTGTGGGGTCAGTGCCTGCCAGGGGGACAGGTTACCCTGGTGTTCTGCCCCAGCAGAGGCACAGCTGTGGTGCAGCCTAGGAGAATGGCTAGCCCCAGAACATGGGACAGGAGCTGGTTAACAAAGGAACCTTAACCTGCTTGTCCCCAAGTCACTCCTAAGCACTGACCTTGGCACAGGGCTCTGGGCCGTCAGGGAGACACAGCCGGACACGGCAGTGCAGGAACACCTTGGGGTACCCGACAAACTGAAACATCTGGAAGCTGAACTTGGCTGTGGTGCTCTCTCCAATGGCATTCAAGTATGTCACTGTCTCATCATGGGGACACCTGGGGCGAAATAGCACAGTCAGCAGGCAAATAAAAAAGAAGGACACCCCAGTATAGGACAGCCACAGCAAGGAGACCAGGAATGCTCACCCCTGCTCAATGAGCTCATGTTGCACATCCTGGTAGGGGTCTGAGCTCGGCGTGGCCCAGCAGTCCTTCACACTCAGCAGGAAGTACCGGAGCTGGTGCTGCCCTTCTATCTTCAGCATGGCATACAGCGTGTCAGTGATGGGCACGGCCGCAGTCGGCAGCCAGTAGGGCTCCAGGTAGGATGCGGTCTTGTACAGCCTCATGCTGACGTTGAAGTGCCCTTCTCTGACCATGAACTGCACCAGCCTGTGAGGAGAGAAGAGAGCTCGTGAACTGCCACGTCAGGTCAGCAGGGCTGGCACAGGCTCTTCGTGTTTGCTGACCCCAGATCCCATATGGAGTTGGCCCAACTAGTCATGGAGGTAGGAGAAAGGCAGATTACACGTGCCCCTAGCCAAGGCCCAAACCTTATTCTGAAAAACTACCACGGGACCCTCTTGGGGAAGAGAAAGAGAAGCACTGTGATGTGATACTGCTCTCAGAGCTCTTTGGTGGCTCCCCAGGGCCTTTACAGATCATCTCATCAAAGGCATCTATTTTTCCACAAGCTTGAATACACCATCTCAGCAGCAAGGTGAAGAGAGACCACTCACTTGTCGACAGGGATGAGGGCAAATGGCACCTTCACCACCTGCTCATAGGCATAGACGCAGGAAAACTGCACCTCCAGCTGAAAGCTCCTGGAGATCACACCCCTGTGTGCTTCCCTCGCTGTCTCAATGATGTTGGAGTATGACACATGGGAGCTGTTTTGCTGGAATGACAAAGAAACCATACCTAAGCTCATGTACAGAGTACAGCACAGTCTAATGAATTAAGTGACATACTGACTATAGGCAGGTCTGCAGAGCTCAGAGGATCCTGCCAGAAAGCTGAAGGCTCTTATCCTAAAGAGCACACGGAGACTTCTATGCTCCGCTGCACAAGATAAGATGTGCTGCCAGCAGTGGTTTGGTGGAGGCAGAAGAGCTTTCTAACAGCCCCCAGGGAAGCCTCCCAAGGGGAAAGAGAGCTTCACAGTGCCAGATAAAAAAGGAAAAGACTCCAGGGCTGTCCATTCAGCATATTTCTTCTCTCTTGGCTTCAGAGCTATTCAGCACAGGCTCCGTGCTGGATCCTCACCTGAATTATTGATCCACAGGCAGTGTGGTTTTCACCTGTGAGAGTGGCTGCAAAAAACAGCTCACCCTCCTCTTCCCTTTCTGAAACCTTGCATGCCTGGTTCTTCAAGTGGACAAGTTCCCGGGGGATTTTCAGCAGTTCAAACACCTCCTTCCTCACCATCATCTTCATGTGCTCTTCCTCACAGGCCAACTTCAGGACCACATCTGGGGGAAAAAGCCATCTGCAATAGCAATAAGGAAGATGCCTGAAGGAGCCCTAAGTCAGCTATGGGATGACACAGTCCTATCGAGCTCAACAGACCCTCATCCCAACCTCATGGAAGGCTGCTGGTAGGGGTCTTCAGAGACACCGGGGGAAAGCAAAAGACAAACCTTTGGAAATCAGCTGAATTTAATGAGGATCTGACATTTACTGCTAATTGCCTAAGCCTGCACAAGTCTGCAACTGCTGTTACTTTGAATGGACACAGTGGTCAAGCTAAAAAGACATCACAGGCAGACGTCACAGGTCTGGCTCCCTCTGGGGGAGGACTGTCTTTAGAATTCTGCAGTCCGCCAAGGCAACCAGGCAGGAACACCACCCTGCCCATCACCTTTCCCTTTGGTGCCTGTGGGCAAACTGAGCTTGCCAGCACCCCAGGCTGTACCTTGGCAGAACGTCCCTGTGAAGCCAGGTTTGCAGCTGCAGATGGGTCTGTCCTCTATCACCTGGCAGCCCCCATGGTGCTGGCATGGGTTGGGCATGCAGGCGTCTGAGCTCCTCTTGGCACGCAGGGCAAACCTTCCTGTCGAGCTGTGAGGGCTTGCCAGCTCACCTGCAGGGAAAGCAATGCAAGCAAGCTGAAATGCAGCAGGAACATCTAACCTTCGAGAGAATGAGAGCAAGCTCACCCCACTGCTCGCAAGGGCTGAAGAGGCTCTGACCTCTCCTTTCCATCTGCCCATCTATAACTGCACAGGGCAGCTTACAAGGAGACTCACTCTTGTTGCCTTCGCAGCCAGCCAGGCGCAGGGCAGAGAACAGCAGCAAATATGTCACAGTCCCTTCCTGTAAGAACAATCAGGCTCTGGGTAATGCAGGTTTTCAGCAGGTCCTCATTGCAGAGGTGTTGGCAATCACTCAGAGCCAGCCCTCAAACATGGGTACAATAATTTCTATACTGTATTTCCTCCAAAAACTGTAGGTTCAATGGTATGAAGTAATTTCCTATCCCAAAGGGCCAAAACAGCAATCCTCTCAGCCCAGGCTCCCATAAGTGAAAAGGAATTTCCCTCTAACTTTTCCAATCATAGTTCTAATGTGAAGATTTGGGTCTTACGAGGCCGTGCTTGCCTTTCCAGTAACACACATCCACAACAGGAGAGACAATGGGATTAAAAGAAAAGAATCAAACCTTGAACATAACTAAAATTTATGTCATGAAGACACAGATAAAGTCAACCTCCGAGCCTGGGTCAGATAACATGTTTCCTTAGAGAAATTAATGACGTGGTGCAGGATAAGCCCAGGACCCTTATCAGAACTGTGGATATGAGTCACCTGGGGCTGCTGGCTGCATATGTCCCCACAGCAGGGCAATGCCAAAGACAAAAGCTTTGGACTGCCACACTCTGGTCTAGCAGCAAATTGTTTATTCCCTCAGCACTACCCTGAGCATCTGCAACCAGAAATCTGGGCAAGGAGGATGCAAAGCCGTGGGGATGTAGAGCCCCATCTGCAATGCGGGGCATGGCCCCAAAGCACGGTCCTCTAGCTTCAGTGGAAACCTGGCTCCTGCTGCTGCCAGAACTATGCTGACAGCAAGTGCAGGGCTGTTCCCAACTTGGCACAACTGCCTTGGGCAGCTCTGCAAACCTTCTCTCAGATGTGCCACCCATGGCTGCTGCAACCTCAACAAAAAGCTCCTAGCTGCTCTCATCGTGCCCACCAGCCCAAGGACTGCATACATCCTCAACACAAAGCTTCCACCTCTCTTATCCTACTCACCATTGCCAGACCAATCCACACTTGCCCACCCGCAGCCAGCTGGGTCCTTCTCGTGCTCCCAGCTGCCTGCCTTATATCACCTCCCAGCAGCTCATTGCTCCCCCACGCAGACACGCTGCCTCTGCGATTGCACAAGAGCCAGCAGCAGACGGGGAGCAAACAGCTCTCCGAAAATGCGTCCTCCAGCATGGCCCTTCTGATTAGCTCAGGGCTGGTGAACGCTGACCCAAATCACAGCCCTGACGGGACTCCAACCAGGAGCAGCGTCTGCAGTATCCCTCTGTCTGCACCATCCCCTGCTTCTCGGGGTTTTAGGCATCTACCTGCTGTTGTGGCACCTGCTTCGCCTCAGCAGGAACAGCAGGTACCATAGTGGTACATGCAGAGGCCAATAACTGTGCACTCAGTACACATGGTTTCCTTTCCACACATGAACACACATGATTTCCCATCCACACACACATGCTCTGGCTTTTAGTGACTTCTGAAATCTCAGATCTGGTGAGAGATGCTGTGACAGACACGGGGATAAGGGCTTGGTCCTGCCACACGTTGTGAAACAATTATGACAATGATCACTCACAGTGATGCTACTTGATACGCAGTGTAAACTGCTTGTTACAGAAAGCGCGGAATGATTTAAAACATCTGACTGCAGTTTGCCTGCATGCCCAGCACTGCTCATGGCACACCTCACTGCCCCTGTGTGCCCCCTGTGAGCAGGGCAGGCTTGTCCTAACACAGAGAAAACACAGAAATGAAGCAGTGCTTAGCAGCTGCTTAGTTCTTCTGTCTGAAGAACCACCACTTAAAAAAAACAAGCCTCCTGTCACACTCAAAAGCAGTGGAACCCATGAGTTTAGGGGCAGTCCTGCAGCCTGGAGTGGGCAGAGGAGGCCCAGGCCCAGACCCAGGCCCAGACCCAGGCCCAGACCCACAGCTCCCAGCCCATTTGCTCTGGGGCTGCTGAGGCACCTGCCGCAGCCAGGCTGTGTATGGAGGTGCTGAAGTGAGTGGTGAGCAAAACTGGGGCAGCCGAGGGGGCTGTGGAACCCCGGGGGGCAACTCAGGGCCTACCGCCTCCATAGGGCGGGGGAGGCCCAGGGCTGGGCCGCGGGGGAGGCTGCAGGCCGCGCCAAGGCTGCTGGGTGCGTGGACGTTGCCATGGTGACCAGGCCCGGCCCGGCGGCGAGGCTTTGGCAGACGACAGAGGTGCGGGGCTGGAGGGGCTGTGTGGCTGAAGGGACCGGAGGGATCCTTGCAGGATGGCAGTGGCTGGGTGCGGTGCTGGGCCCTGGAATTCCCCCACTTCGTGCCCCCAGCCACAAGGTCCGTCGTGCCCCATGTGCTCTGCAGAGGGTCAGCCTGACCGCAGGGAGGGAAAAGGACGGCCCCCAGCCTCCCTGAAACCTAAATAGGCGATAGGAGCAGCGCTGCGGCCTTGGAGGCTGCTCTGCTGCTGAGGCAGCTACAAACAACCCTCTCCCCAGCAGCTCTGGCTGGGTTCCCCGGAGAGCCACAACAAGGCCTGAGGCTGTGGCGTGGCACCCACCAAACAAATCCCCATCCCACCGGCTGCCCCATGCCCTGTGTTCCACCTGCCCAGCCTGAACTCGAGTTCAGTGCTTGTACACGAGAGTCACGGAAATGGGAACCATTGCACCCAGAGTTTTGGTGTTCCTATACACCTGGTCCCATCTGGTTGCATGTATTTCTGTAGAGGAAGCGAAATGGAGGTCCTAGAGGAGAAAGTAGAAGAGGAGCAAAAGGAAGAAGAGCTGAAGGCTTTGGAGGTCGGCAGTGAGCTTCATGACATGGACACAAAGCTGTCTGTGGAACAAGTCAGCTTTGCAAGTGATGTACCGTAAGTTGCACGTGTGTGTCAGTCACTGGGATGAGCAGAGACAGTCCTGCGGGGGGTCCATGGGGAAGCTGCATGCTTGTAGCTGGTGCTGAGGCTTGTTTGTGCAAGGCAGGGTGGGGGGAGCAAATTTAGTTGAGCCTGGTGAGCTGTCCATGTCTGTGAGTAAGACAAGATAAATCACTTCATTTTCCATCCATTCAATACTGTATCAAAACACTATATAAAGATCCCCCAGTCCTCTCGGTCTTCGTTAGCTTGCCATCACTCCAGAGAAGCTTGACTATGTCAAAATCATGCCTACTTTAAACAATCTCTTCTTGAATATAGCCCCAATTTTTTTCCAGCAAGGAGCCCTTCCTGTATTTTGATAGCAGATCATCCTGTCTAAATCGCTCCCCACTTTATTACCTGTGTTTCTCTGCCTCCTTCTGCCTCTCAAGTGATTTTGACTGGAACAGCATCGACACATCCCAGTTACCAGACTCATACAAGGTGAATTGCCCAAGGGAAAAGAAGCTGCTGCGCATTGCTCACCATTACCACCAGCAGTTTGCTCACCTCTGCCCTGAACGCAAGCCGCTCTTCCTGCACCCTGTCAACGAATGTGGCGTGGAGGTAAAGGAGGTGTGGAGATGGGCCCAAGCTGCACAGTTTTTGTCCAGTCATGGGCCTGTTGCTGCCCTGAGTGTGTGGAATTTCTCCTTTAGATCAGCTTCCTCCAACATTTATTATATAAATGTCATACCAGACAAATAAATAAATAAATGCCAGAGGATATAGAAGCCAGAAAGTGCAGTAGCTATTTTTCTCACATGAAAGCTAAGAGATCTGGCTCACATCTGCAGTGTGGCTGAGATTAGCTTCTAACTAACGGAAGTGTCTACTGGCACAAAGCATCTTAACTCCATGCATTTCCAATTCTGAGTGGTGATGAGGTGTACCATCAGTATGTTGGTATGCTCCAGGGAAGTCCTGAGTGTAAGCTGCAACAACCAGGGGTTGTCTGAGGATTGCTTTGGACAAGAAACTGCACCAGTAATCTGTTGGCTAATCAAAGTCCTCTTGGTGCCTTACAGAAGTTTGTGAGCACAACAGTGAGGCCAACCTTGCTGCCTTACACAGAGCTGTACCGCTGGGATGGCTGTGCCAGCTTTGTCTCTGATTATCTCACTATGGAGCCCCTCAAGTGCCCTCTCACACCGGTAAGAAAGGGCTGCAGTCCCTTCAGAAACAGCCCCACGATGGAGGTGAAAGAAGTATGCTATGTGGAAACCTGAGGGGCTGGGATTTACAAAGTCCTTTTGTCCCTCCAGCACCTCACAATTACTTGGGCAATCCCCCTAGAGTAGCAAGAAGAGATGATGCCAATGTCCTGGGGGTGGTATGAACCAGCAAAAGCAAAGGGACTAACTAGTCTTTGTTAGCAAGGACTGCTGATATCCTTCAGTGTGCTCCAAACAATCTACATGAGGTCCATGCTGGTCAGGTGTGTCCCAAGAGTCTCAGGGTCTCAAGAGACACTTTGGTGTCAAGAATGTGTGTTGATTTAGTGGACAAAGACTGATCAAACCTAAGGTTCAGTCTGATATCTGGGCATAGATGGTGTAAGTAGAATATCTCTATATTCACTTTGTGTGTTGTTCCCTTTGCCTGGGGAGTGAGGACCAAAAGGAAGTATGTTTCCTTTGTGCTATAATTTAGGTTATGGGTCTTTGCTTTGAAATGCTGCAGGCAGACCAGCTGGAAATGGAGATAAGCCCCATTTTGGTGTTGTGGTTAGCATTAGATTCTCAGTAGCCTGGCAAATTTGTCCTGCCCATCTCTCCCTATGGTTAAATATGCACAAGATTTAGGGTCAGAATTTCTCCACGTTACTTTGGAAGGAACTTTTAGCATCTGTGGTTTATGTATGAGTTTCATTTGAACAGACTCCCTATGGATGGAGTGCCCAGGGATATGAGCAATGCGCTCTCTCTCTCGTTCCCGGGGCTTGTTTCAGCTTCAGAAAACAAATGCTGTGAACAGATATCTCTTTCTTTCAAGCCCTCTTCACTCTATTCCCCAACTACCATCCTGAAGTACCAGCGAGGGAACTGCTTTGACTTCAGTGTGCTGCTGTGCTCCATGCTGATTGGAGCTGGGTACGATGCCTACTGTGTGAATGGGTATGCCACCCACAACATATGCAGCTTGGATGAGACTCTGGAGGAATGCCCACTGCTCAGGAAGCCACAGGAGGTGAGGAGACCTGCGGTGAGCAGGCAGGGGGGAGCCTGGGTGTCTGGTTCTGATAAGAAAACCATGACATTGGTGAGAAAGACAAAGCACACTGGAGGCCAGTGAAGCTGGCATCTCTGGTGTGTCCACTGTGTGATAAGAATGAGTGTGATGGCAGGCTGTGGGGCGCCCAGCCCCATTGCTTGTTTGCTTTCTAATCATGCTACTCATGTAAAGGGGGCGACAGTTTGCCTGTGCTTTCTCCCTTTTCTTGATTCCTGCTGGGTTTAACAGCAATTTCTTGCTTTTGTGGAGGCAGGTCCCAAAAGAAGAAGTGAAGAAGTCTAACAAATATAGAGTTAAGTCCCTCCCAGACATGTGCAGCAAGTTTGAGCTTCAGCAGGAGGCCAAGAAGAAAGCAGAAACAGAAGCTACTGAGAAAAAGGAAAGAGAAGAGAAGGGCATGGTGAGTTAGCAAGGGCTACCCTACTCTCAAACTCCATTAGCAAGAGTGAGACATGGGTAAGAGTTGAGACGTGGGTAATAGCTGACCCAAGAAAGGAGCTCATGACCCTCCATGCAGTACAGTACAACTCAGATTCTGGCCATGAGCGCATAGTTTCTGGAAACACAGTGTGTGCTAGCAGAGGAATAAACACTGAGCATGTACTGCATCACTGTTCTGAAGGGAATTAAGGGTTTGGAGGTCTTCAGAGTTGGGCAGGGGAAAAAATAAGATTGCTGGTGGATTGGACTAAAGTGGCAATAAAGTAGCAATAATTACTGCTCTATCTTCTGGACTACAGGAAGCAGAGGAGCTCACACGTGATCGTTTGTGTGGCTTACGGGTGCATGCGTGGGTTTTGGTTCTGTCTGGCAAGAGAGAGGTTCCTGAAACTTTCTTCATTGATCCCTTCACGGGGAACAGCCATAGCACCATGGATGAGCAGTTCCTTGGGATTGAGAGTGTCTGGAACCACAAGAACTACTGGGTGAACATGCAGGACTGCCGGAATGGCTGCAAGGTAGTGAGCTCTTAAACACCCCTGCACCTGAAAGGGACAGTCAGGCTGAGCCCTGAGGGAGTCTGAAATCAGTGGTGATCCAGGTTTCTAGTCACTATTCCCCTGCACTGGCTCTGGGCACGTAATTCTGATTGCTTAGACATCAGACCTGGCACCTGGAGCTAGTTCCTGCCATCCCACTCTCTGAGCTAGCAAATATGGATCATACCTATTGACCCTACACTGGAATATCAGCTTTGAAGGCTGGCTGGACAACCATTCTCCCAAAAAGAACTTTTAGGGTAAAATCTGTTAAGTACAGCTCAGGGTAGGAAAGATCTTGATTTGGCTCTTCTCACACCCTAGCTACTGCCCAGCTGATAGGCTGGAAGGAGAGGGGCTAAATCAGAATCACTTTAGGCCCGTCTGCATGACCCTGGGACCATGCATGAGTCAAGGAAGGAAGCAGAAGTATTTCCCTGGCAGTGGTACCATGAGGAAAAGGACCAGTAGCCTTCCAGGCAAAGATCCAGTCTTTGGCATCCCACCAGTGAGCCACTGAGATCCAGGGTGTCCAGAGTCTGCAGGTGTGCAGAAGCAGTGTTGAGTTTAGTGTCAGGCCCTTGAGGCTGCTCTGTATTTCTTCTGTTTGGCCTAGGATCTTGTCTTTGATTTGAGTGACGCCGTCCACTGGGAAATCATGCTTTCAGAGACTGACAAGCCTCTTCAGCTGCTCCTGGGTGCTAAGAAGGAAAATGAGCTGTTTGATAGGAACATGGATGACATGGTGAGTGACCTGAATGGTTAGCACTCAGCCTTCCAGTGCACTGACCTTTGGGACAAAGGAATTTCAGAAAAATAAAATTAGAACAAAAATTTTCTGAACATCCTCTCTCTGCTGGTCAGCAGACAGCTCTTACAAGTTGCCAACCAAATGTAGAAATAAAGTGTGCATAAATGTTATGTTGTCTTGCTGGCAGAACAAAATATGATAAAGCAGGCATTACGCCAGCACAGCACCACGGAGAAACACTGATAACAACACATTCCCTCCTCATATCTAATCTTCCCAGTTTTTGTTCATCACCAGGGATCAAAACTTCTTCCACGGTCTGTATAAAATAAGCTGGTCATTAGTTTGAATGGCAAAAGTCACATTCATAACCTGCCCAGCATAAGTGTTAGCCATATTTCCTTAGGCTTGGAAGAAGATGTGCTAGCAAGAATGCAGGGATGCAATAAAGTTCACCTTCCCTAAAAGACTGCAGCATGCTGCTTGCTCCTGCCCTCTGGCTGTGTGTGATTGTTACAGCACATAACTGTGCCACTGTTGCTCAGGACAAAATGTGGCCTCGTGTGAGTTGCTCGCTGATTGCTGCAGTGCATTCTCCAGAAGCAGAAGGCCTGGCACTGTCAGAGCAGTTACCAAAAATGGAAATTTTTGTTTCAACAGGAGGAGGAAGAAGAGGAGGAGGAGGAGGAGATAAGTTTTGCCATGCCACCGTCATGGGTAGCTCCAATTCAGATATCTCCCAAAGGTGTGTGCTCTTTGCCTTTTGCTTGCCTTCCAGCTAATCTTTTAGTAGATCTGGAAGAATTCTGCCTTCAGGATGTTTGAGGTACAGCAGCAAAGTGCAGTAGATCAAGGCATGCACTTGCTATTGGTTTGAATGCACCTTCCATGCACTGTCTCACTGTGGATGGGTGGTCCCCATGGAGACACACACCTTTCCTGCTAACTGAATGATTTTGCCTGGGATGGACTTTCTGTTACCACTATGCATATGGGGCTGCCTGCCAATCTTTCTGACACCTCCCTTGCCTACTGCAGAGTTTGAGACTCGCTGTTCCCAGGGGAGGAAGGTGATCCTCTACAAGAAGGCAAAGCTGGAGAAATGGCCACCGTACTCCAATGGAAATGGGCTGGTGAAACGGCTCACCATCTACGCAGACTCAAACTGTAAGAGGATGGAATTTATCTCACCTTCTCCCCCTGAGCTGCTGACTTTAGTTTCTGTTGACAAAGAGGAATAAGTCTTTTTATGGTATAAGTCATCACAGTAGATGAGAATTCATCTGTTAGGATTAATCTATAAAGTGCCCCAGTACACAGAGCCAATTCTAGTGACTGTGTGGGCTGCTTGCACAGATATCAGATGAATCCTACCACTTCCAACTGAGTGACGTGAGGCTGTGAAATTGCATGTCTCCTGCCAGATACCAAAGCAGTAGAAGTGAAAGAGTGGTTCAAAAACCGTGAAGACATGTTGGATGTGAGAGAAGTGAATAAACAAACACAGTTGACCACAGAGTACTTCAGCCCAGGACACGTCTTCGGTCTCAAAGGTATTCTAGTTCATCTGGGCAACCAAGACATTATGGGAATCTGTTCTAGTAGTTGCAAAAGCCTGAAGCTACGGGTCTGCAAGCATCTAGGATGAATTGCGTAGATTAATAATATAGTCTCTGAAAGTAGAGAATTGGGTTGGTTGTGCTTACAGTCCTGGGCAACACTTTCCCACCAACAGAAGGTGACATCTGTATCATATATAGTGATGTATACTTTTACCAGTAAGGTTGAAAACTGTCTCCTTGGGATTATATTCAGTCTCTCAGTGTTATGCAGCTGTAGAAGACAAAGTCCTGCTATTAGTCCAGATGTGCTACTGAAGCAGTATTTCTCCCCAAGAGATTGCCCAGTTTCTGGTGTGGAAAGAGCAGAGTCCAGGCTCTACTCACCACTACCTTGCTGTGTGAGGAAGGCAGCGGCCCTGAGAAGCTGTTCTGCCATCCTCAGGCCATGGTATACTGGTAATCAGCAGTAAGGATATAACATTCCCTTCCCACACTCTTTGATGCATTTGATTTGTTTGCTGCTCAAGAAAATGAGACTTCCTCTGGATGTGCCTGTATTCCTCTGGATGTGCCTGTATTTCTTTGGATGTGCCTGTATTTCTTTGGATGTGCCTGTACTTCACCAGTATTGTGATGACTAGTTGTAAAAACGTACGCAATCTCTTTTGTGTCCTTAGTACACACCTATAAGTCAATGAGCCCACAGACTGAACGTGTGATGGAGTTCTACACTGAGACACGAGTCGATGGCCTCCAGAAACTTGCTGAAAATGACAACGAGATGAAAGAGTACTTTGTGGGGCGAGATGACTTCAAGTACTTCCAGTACACAGAGTTTCGCTCTAAAAGAAAGAAAGTAACTTTGGTTGGCACCAGAACTGATGCTAACTCCCGGCCTATAGTGGTACGGCCAAGTCAGGAACAGAAAAATATCTGTCACAGTGATATTTATACATTGCAAAACATGCTGCCTAAGGCCTTAGGTTCATTCTTAGTGGACACAACCAAGGCAAAACTCCAGATGAAGCATACAAGTCTTGTTCAGCTGCTGTGTCTTTCAATTGCTTGCTTGACACAGCCACAGTGTATGCATTTGTCCCAAAACACATGGAGAACTTGAGTGAAACCAGGAAATTATGACCTGGAAAATGTGTGTCAGAGGAAAGAAAAATAGCTTAACGATGATTTTGGAAGGAAATTTTCTCAAGACTCCACAGTGTTTTGTTCTGAGCCCAAACGAATGTTTTGTGATGCTGACAAAGTGTCCCATAGTGCTGTTACAAACAGGTATCTCTGTCCAGTCAGCTGTTCTCCCCATGGGGAGAACAGATGAGAGAGGAAATCTGACATCTGCTGGTATGGCTCAGACACTTCATCTGCCAAGGCAGTGGCCTTTGGGTCAACACCAAACATGCTTTTTTCCCCCCTTCTTTTTGTTGGGGAATCTGGGGTGTTTTGTTGTGCTCCGAATACCTTGCTTCCCACAGCTCCATCAGACTGAGTTGCATCCCAAGCTAACTTTGAGCTTGAAGAGCATGCTCAGCTCCACAAATAGGAGTCTGTATTGCTTTAAGCAGCTTTGTGTTTTGTTTTTTTTCAGGGACCAACCATGGGCCAAGGCTTTAGGAGTAGCTGTCACATCTAAATTGAGCAAAAAGGCCCAGTTTTTGTCTTGAGCTTTGATTTAACTCTTCACAAACGTTGCCATTTTTCTCTGCGGTCTAACTTGCTTCCATCTCTTTCTCTTCACTTAGCAAATCAAGGAGTGTTTCCACAGAAACCTACAAAAGCCTGCTGATGAAGATGTGGCAGAACGTGTCTTCCTGATGGAAGAGGAGATGATCCAACTGACATACCACCTCAAGGATAAGTACATCACAGCCTCAAAGAAGGACTTCTTCAAACCAGAGGAGAGCTATAGGAAGCAAAGTGAAATCATGACCCCAGAAATGTGCATCACATACCAGGTATGGAGAAAATCTACCTGGATTGAGGAGCTGTTCTGGGCCATGGGGACGCAAAGGGTAGGTGCAGTGTCAGTGGAAGTGTGGCAAGGCATGGCATATTTGTGCTCAGCCTCTCCCCCATCTGCTCATCAGGTAGTGTATGTGGCCACTGAGATCTTGCAAGATGCTGATTCAGCAGCTGTTTGTCTCAATCCTGCAGATCCATGACAGGGAAGTTGAAATTTCCTTTGCTGTTCTCTCTTAGAGAGACTGCAGCAGAAAAGCAGGAGCAGATTTTAACTCAATTTCTACCACAGATCACAAAGCTCGGGTCACGCTGTTGTTTAAATCATCCCCAGCTTACTCTGCAAATTCAGACAAGATACCAAGGCTTTATTTATTGCTGACAGATAGACAGACAGATAGCTTTAAATAAAAGATACCCCAGAAAAAGTACTGTCATTATGCCAAATTCTCTCATTCATGGAGAGGTCACTCTATTAACATCTCTGATGTGAGTCTGTAGCCAGAGGAAGAACTCTGCCTGCATCATCTGCACAATTATGGATAGGAAATCAGATTACCAAAATAGATATGCTATTAATATATGTTTTTTAACTTATATTTCTGGGGAGATGCAAATGCTGGAGCGCTGTCATTTCATCTCTAACCCTGTAAAAACAGTCTCAGCCAAATAATAGGAGCATCATCAAAGAGGTGTAGGACATGCAATCTGGCTGGCATTACTGCTGGGCTCAAAGTCTAGGTGAACTCTAGTCAACTACTGACAATGGGTTGGATGTTTTTGTGGTGTAAAGCAGAGTCCTTATATTGACTTAGCAGAATGGTGCCAGTTTATGTTTGCAAAGTACTTGGTCCCAGGTACCCAGACAACAATACTGCCTTTCACTAGCTTATCTGCTTCCAGGCTGGGTCCTCTGAGCAGCACACAAAGCTGGTTCACCTGTACAAACTCTTGCGACAGCTAACAGAGGAAGAGAAGCAGCTGAAGCAACAAGTCTGGAGAACTCAAGCAGAGGTAGGAGGGAGCCGTCCTCACTGCTGTCAGCACGGTCAGGAGTGGAAGCTGGTTTCATTGGACAGGTTGCCAAAGCCTCATTCAGCTTAGGCTGTGATAAAAATAAAACTCTGGTGGTGTGAAGCTGGTCTGCATGCTGAATGACCAAGTTTGCAATCTGTCCCCTGACTCTGAACATACAGAGAGTCACACGCTTCCCAAGTCTTGCTCTGTTTGTTCTGAGGGATGGAAATGGTTTCAGAGAGAAATAACAGCGTGTGAACTGGGGCATCCAGGAGTAGATCTGTTTGTTTGCTTGCCTGGGAATGAAACCAAAAAGAAAGGATGTTGTGTGTAATGTAATCTAATTGCAAGGCATTTCCAGGAAACCGTAACAGTAATATCAAAGTGATTTTTTTTGTAGGAACAACTGTAGGGAAATAGTTCACAAAATACACTGCTTGTACTGCTGATCATACTGTGACTGGTGGAACAAATTCGTGTTCTTAGAAGTTTTCGTGGTGACTTCACGAGAAATTCAGTCATTCTAGCAAGTGGAGACAGAGCCATTGGATCTGATTGGTTTTTAAATGGTTTTTCTGTGAAAGGAAAACCCCTGGAGAGGAATGCACAACAACAGCATGCAGAATATTAATAATAGCAAAGAAAAAGCTTGCAATATTTTTCAGAATTGTGGAGAGCATACACTGTGACCTCATGAATTACCCCACCAGATTTCTTAGTCTTGAGGTATTCACAGGCCAAATCTTCCTGTTGCTTGTGCCGTGTGTCCCGTGCACTGCTGTGACAAAGCAAAAAGCCAAAGCTGCTTCTGCAGTTCCAGATGAACCCTTTCATAAAGGTCTGGGATATATTTAACCCTGTGCTACACTTGGGGCACACAGCATCTGCTCTGTGAGCGTGTGGAAACGCTGCCACTCGGTGGGAAAGCTGAGGTGTCTCTCTTCTCATTGCTTGGAAGGTGCTAACAATTCTGGAGACCCGTGGGAATGAAGAAGCAGACATCAAATTGTCAGCTTCAATATATGACACAGAGAGAAATGCAAGGAAAAGACAAGAGTACGAAGCCATGGTAGGTGGGCTTTACTAATCCCAGTATTAATTACATGCACACTGATTAAATCCAGAGCAAGCATCTTCTGTCTGACATATTAGCTCTGAAGATCTTTTAGTGCTATTAAAAGATACAGAGCCAAATCCCAGCAAGTTGAAAATATAACATGGCCATGTTATGACCTTCTGGCTCTCTGGCCACATCAGAGAGAAAAAGTTGTTTTATTTTATTTAGGTAACAATTTAATAACTAATCCTTGTTAATTATTTTAATGATAATAGGGACTGGGGGGGGGGGGGGGGGG